AACAAGTGTGTGTGTGTGTGTGTGTGTGTGTGTGTGTGTGTGTGTGTGTGTGTGTGTGTGTGTGTGTGTGTGTGTGTGTGTGTGTGTGTGTGTGTGTGTGTGTGTGTGTGTGTGTGTGTGTGTGTGTGTGTGTGTTGGTACTGGGTCTTGAACTCAGAGTCTGGGTGCTGTCCCTTGCTCAAGGTTAGTGCTCTACTTAAGCCACAGCTCCAATTCTGGCTTTTTTTTTTTTTTGGTGTGTTTAATTGGAGATAAGAGTCTCACAGACTGCCCTGCCCAGGCTGCCTTTGAGTCAGGATCCTCTGATCTCAGTTCCTGAGCAGCAAAGATTACAAGCATGAGCCACAGGTGTGAGCCACAGGTGCTCAACTCTATAAATGCCTTCTTTTGATTGAAGTAGAAATAAGAGGTTCAAAACAGGGGAGTGTTTTGCAAATGAGACACTGAGAATTCTTGTGATGGTGACAGTTTCATTTGTAAAGTTCACTAGAGTTTTTAGAAGACCAGTCTCAGGTACATGAGCATGATGATTCCAGCCCATAGGGCTTATGATGGTTTGAATATTATCCTTCAAGTACATGTGCTTTCAGAATTGTGTGATATCTGAAGAAGAGGAGGGCTGCCAAGGCTTGGTGTCATGGGCCTCTGATCTGGAGAGGATAAAACAGAACAGCCACTTCCCATTCATGACGGACAAAGCAGAAAGTGTGACACCCCACATCGTATACCTCTGCCGACTCCTTGTTCAGTGACTTCTTTCTCTAAGAGTTCCAGAAGGAGGTCAGGTCCTCTACAGCTTGAACATCTCAGGCTGCTTCTATTTCTTGAAGCCTCTGGTATATAAAAAAGAGAAATGAAGTGTTCAAATAATGCTATAAATATTATGGCACATTATAAAGCTTTATGCCAAAGACATTGAGGCATATGTCATACATCCAATATAGTGGACTTTCATTTCACCTTTTATAAATGTTGTAAGGCATCATAAAAATGTGAGGACCCGTTGTGCATGCTCGGAGCTTGGCTTGGTTGTGGACATGTGCTGATAGACTCATGGAGAACATTGCTGTCTTGGCATTGTTGGCTTTTCTCTGACAAATTGAATAATGCCACAGTTGGAAGCCTGCCACCTTTTGTGGACTTAGTGGATGGAGGGACTACCTCTTCTTCTTACTCTTTTTACTCAACAGGGCTCTCCTAGAATTCTGAATGTGCTTGTTCAAATTTGTGTTGCATACATTGGCCCTCACAAGGCTCATATTTGGAAAATGGCTCACAGAAGGAAAATGGAGGATATAGCCCAGCTGTATCTTTCAGATGGGGTTATAGTTGGTATAGATTCAGAGTTGGGGATCCCCTAGAGCCTGCCTGGCCCCCAAGTCCAGGTCTGCCATTTAGCTGCATGACCTTGAGCTCATCCATTATGTGACCTACCTGATACTCAGCTAACTCATTTCTTTTCAGTGTTGGGCAAGAGCTCTACCACTGAGCAACATTTCTAGCCCAGATCCATTATCTTAAAAGATGGAAAATAATTGTTATCCTCTTTATATATTTGTTGTGATGATTAACTAAAATTGCACATCACAAAGCCTGACCTATAGTAAGTGATTTTCTAAATACTGTACAATAGTAACCAATTGTTGTTTGTTGTATTATACATTTCTTCTACCATATCTTGACTTTTTTTCTTTTCAGTAAAAGACAAATGTGTGTCTTATATGTTCATAATTAGATACAAATAATTGCCTGGACATTTTAGAACAGTCCAAGGAAAGCAAGGGAACTTCTGACTCCAATTCCCATTCAGTGAAGACCTATCGACTTGTTCTTTAGTTGTGAAGACAATTAAAATGCATGCATGGCCTGCATACTTCAGCTCTAGGCACAAGTTTCTGAAGACAGACTTGGGAAGCATAGTTCTCAGTGAAGTGTAGTGATTGGTATTATGAGGTTAAGCTCCATGGAAACCCCTGAACATCCAAACTCTCTTCAACAAGAACTGTTCAGATTGTATATTTCACTCTTTAAAATTATCTTTTATTTCAGTCTAGAATTCCATGCTTAACAAACATCAACCAGTCTTGAAAACTGCTTCTGGAAGTACAATGGGTAGGAAATAGATCGGGCACTTGCTCCCACCTTACCAAGGTTCACAGGCCCACACACCTAAGTAGGGGAAGATTTTGGTTTCATAAATGTGATATTCAAGTTAGTCTGTAACACTTGGTTTCTGAGAAGTGTGTAAAAGTGATTTTTGACTGTTGGTTCAAGAGACCCTTTTTGTCCCATCCCATTCTTTTTATAAAGAATACAGAGTGGGGGGAGGTGGGTGAGCAAGGGTGCTGCGGTGAGTATCATGGAGATGCACTGGATGCATCTCTATATATGGAACCCCTTGTACAACTAAGTGAAGTGATTCAAAATATGTCTGCAAGGGAGAGGAAGAGAGAGAACATGGCTGTTGTTGCCTTGTGGAGAGAGAGAAGTCTGGCATTAGGTGGTGAAGAGTGGAGGGGACCCTGCATAGCCTCTCAGCTTCAGTTCCCCAGACACATTGTGACATCAGCTTCTGTGGTCACAGAGATGATACTTGGCAAAGCCTGAGCTTTTAAGCACTTTATATGCCACAATTCCATACCACTAAGGCAATTACTTTACTGGAGCACTGGTAATAGGCAAAGAATAAGTAGGCCTCATAACACTTAAAAGGTATTTAGAATTATCCAGTTCTTGTGGTACATACCTGTAATCTCAGCTACTTAGGAATCAAGAGACAGAAGGATCACTGCTTCAGGGCCAGTTGGGGAAACAGAGAGACCTTGTCTCAAAACAAAATATTAAAGGGTGCATTGAGTATGAGTAAAGAAGATGAGATAGACTAGAGTTCATTGGAAATGTGTAGAAATAGGATAATCCCCTCTGTAAACTAGTAAGACCAGCAACAACAACCACCAAACAACATCCAAAGGGCTGGGAAGGTAGGTCACATAAGGCCTTGGGTTTAATTCCCAGTAATTCCTACACTGATTTAGGAAGAATTTTTGTTCATTTTGATTAAGGGAATGCTAACAACTCCTGGTTTCTTGATTGTACCCCGATATTAGCAAAGCTAATCCTGGGGTGAATTGCCAGGCTGTGTCCTAGCTGTCCAACAGCCACCTAGTACACTTCTTTTTTTTCTGCGTTGGAAAGATACTGTGTTCTGTACTGTGTTCTGTCTTTTCTTTGTTAGGTCCAAGACTGACTTGAACTTGGTATTTGATGCTTTCTCTCATTGGCTAGTGCTCTAACCAACTGAGCCATGTGCCTCTCCTCTTCCTCCCCGTAACCCCTAGTAGTAATATCAAATTATTACAGAAATTCTGGAAAACACAGATATGTAAAGATGACAATATGCACCACTTGAAATTATGTCTTGAGAGAACCCTGCAGGGATGGTTCTATTGAATAGTCTCAAATACTTTCTTGAATTTTCTATTTTCTTTAATATTTTCTTAGAGGCTAGAAAAACAAACATCAAGATATTGGAGCCTCATAAAGAATCTTTACCATCTGAACTACACACACACACACACACATATAATAATCTCACATATATTCACTGTTGAAAGCCTAAAGGCAACTTCTGGCATTAAGAAAAGTAAAAGAAAGGAAATCTTGTTTATTTTATATATATTGTTAGTTAGATTATGTATATTGTTTGTAGAAAATAAATGAAGCCATCACTTTCCCATTTGGTATTTACTGGCAGATTATGGGATATGTTACTGGTACTTAGAACTTTGAATACTGGAAGCATGTGGTCATCTGCTCATCCAGAACCGGTCTAGTTTCTTTTTAACCTGCAGACAAGCCTGCTGGACAACTATGCAGTTTCTCCAAAGTTTGATGCAAGTCTCTCCTTCCTTCTCCTCTCCCTTCTCCTATCCCTTATTCTATCCACTTCCTCCTTCCCTTCTGCTCCTTTCCCTTCTCTCCTCCTATCCTTTCTTTTCCTATCCCTTCTCCTCTCCTCCCCCCTCTCTACTCTTTCTCTCCTTTCTTTTTGGAGACAGAGTCTTTTGAGGTAGCCCAGACTGGCCTCAACTTGCAGTTCTCTAGGCTTGGCCTCCTAAGTGCCAGGATTACAGTTGAGTGTGCATCTCCAAGTACTGTTATCTTTCAGGTATTAAACTGAAAGTCATGTACTTGCTTATGGGCTTCCTCATCCTTAAACAAGGAAATCAAGGAGAGAAGTTAAAACTGAACTCACTCTTAATAAGAAGAGTAGTTCACTGGCAGCCACTGTACCTACTTGTCCTCCTTTCCTGTCCTCACGCCCCATTTCTTTCTTTTTTTTTTCTTTTTACTATTTGTATTCCCGTGTATTTCTTTTTTTTTAATTTAATTTAATTTTATTTGTGAACATACTGTACAGAGGGGTTACAATTACATGGGCAGGATAATGCGTACATTTCTTACCAAGCATTGCAGCCTCCTCCTTTGTTTACCTCACGCCCCATTTCTGTTGGAGACAGCACCATACCCATATAGAATCTGTTATATCATCTCAAAGGAAGTACTGGCTTTTCCTTTCTAACTAGACCCTTGGTAGAGATAACCAAGTAAATTTTCTCAAGTTCAAGTTCCTCTTTGTTCCTTTGTATGAGAAAAGATAAGGGGCCACTTGGATCTAGTTAAACTACTTAGATGACTTCATTGGTTTTCTGTGAGCAAAAGTTGCCTGTTCAACGAACCTGGCCTAGAGTTTTCCCTACCCATCTTATTGCCACACAGTACATGTAATAGTGGTGACTTAGTGCCATTATTGTCTTCAGTTGAGTTTTTGGCACATTTTTAGAGGACGAATTGGGAGTCTTTATTGGAAAGCCGGAGAATGCAGGTAGCCTCTTGTCACAAAGACCTACTTTCAGAAAATGGAGTCTTGAGAGCAGGAGAGGAAAGAAAGAGCAAAAAAATACCAACAAACCAGATCAATGGAGAGCTGAAGTGGGACACCATGGTAACTGAAGAAGAGCCAGGAGCCAGAACAGGAAGCATGGCGTATGGGTGCCTGAGCTGGTCCAGGCCTAGAGTCAAGTCAAGGGGAAGGTCCCAGGGAGCTTGAGAGTTTGAAACCCAAGACTGGCAGGTCCAGTAACCTATTATCTTGTCCCAGCCCCTGCCTCTAGGAATTCAGGCAGCCCATCACCTGGGCGGTAGGACTTCCTTGCCTCTACCATGAAGACAAGATGTCACCAGTCAGACTCAATACCCTATCATCCACCATGTGGCTAAGATGGCGCTGGTTAGATTCAGCATCCCTATTTCACTTCTATCTTAATCTCTTATAAGTCTAGAAGTTTAGGGCTTTTCTGCTTATTTTTATATTTGGTAGGGAAACCTTTGGTAGTGGATGGGGTAAAGTTTGAGAACTATCTTTCTTTGGGGAGGGGAAGGAGAAGCAGGAAACTATGGGACAAAGGATGAGCTAATTCAGCAGTGATAATCAATAGACACGGTGTTGGAAATGAACTATACCTTGCAGGGCAGTGGGGCAGAGGGAAAAAGCTGGAAGAAAATGAGGGAGGTGGTGACTAGTCAAAAAGCAATGTACTCATTCATTACCTGACTTATTGTAACACCTCTACATCCCCTGTACATCACCTTTACAATAAAACTTTTAAAAAAAGAAAGAAAACTACCAAGTTAAAAAAAAAAGCTATCTTCATGTTATAAAGATGGCTCAGTATCATAATGACTTTAAAAGTTGGTGAGTTCTGTTTAACTGTTGCCAATGGATGTGTTTTTGCTTTCTCCTTAGGGAGGCAACCAACAATGCACAACTATTTAGCCCAGCTCTAGAACCATCTAACTGAGATTGAGCTGGAGTTAGCTGCTCAGATGTTTGGGTTCCAGTTTCTTTAGTATTGATCATAATCTCATATGATCATGTCCTTCTGTTTTCTTTGGCGAATTGATATATTACATTACTTGACTGAAAACTTTCTAACAAGCCTTGTATAATACAGATGAATTCTACTTGTATATTATTAGATTGAATTTTATAATATTTAATTTGCTAATATTTTGTTGAGGAATTTTGCTTCTGTGTTTATGAGAATTCTTCAGATTTTTTGTCTTTTCTAATGCAAATCCTTTCATTCTGTGAGTCTAGGTAATGCATGATTGTTTCATTTATAATTACTGTGATAGACACTGAATAAATATTTGCAAAGTTGAATGGAATCTACTAGCTGTCCTAAGTGTAGATAATTTAAAATATTCAGTCGATTGACTTGCAATGATAATTGGAATGACATTAAAAAAACAACACAATGAAATCTTTAATTTTTTAAAAAGATTTGGGCTTGAACTCAGGACTCCAGTGCTGTCACTGAGCTTTTTTTTTTTTGGTCGGTCGTGGGCCTGAGCACTGTCCCTGTGCTCTTCAGCTCAAGGCGAGTGCTCTACCACCTGAGCCACATCACTACTTCCTCACTGAGCTTTTTTGCTTCAGGATAGTGCTCTACGTATTGACCCACAACTCTGCTTCCAGCCTTTTGTTGGTTAATTGGACTTTCCTGTCCTGACTGGCTTCAAACCACAGTCATCTTGAGTAACTGGGATTAGAGACATAAGCCATCAGGGTCCAGCTGAAGACGGTTTTTAAGACTGAAAAGAAATAGGTACACTTCAAGGCCAGCTGTAGGTTGTTCTAACAAAGGGCCATGAACCAGCTGATAATAACAAGGCTGCTCTCAGCTCTCTAGGTAGAAGCCCAAGATCAAGGTGTCCTAAGTTGTAAAAGTTGGCTAGCAACTTTGGTGCACTTTGCCCCCTGTTCCACCCCAATTTCTGCCTTCATTTTATATGGCATTGTGGGGTGTGTGTCTGGTTTTGAATTTTCTATTTTTAAGAGCACACCAGTCATTGGATAGCTCAGTTGATCTCATTGTAACTGATTTTTCTGTAGTGACTCTGTTTCCAAAGGTCAAAATTTGATATTCTGGGGCTTAGGACTTTAACACATGAATAAATGTGGTGAGAAAGCTGGTATGCCTGCCTGCCTGCCTGCCTGCCTGCCTGTCTGCCTGTCTGCTTGCCTTCCTTCCTTCCTTCCTTCCTTCCTTCCTTCCTTCCTTCCTTCCTTCCTTCCTTCCTTCCTTCCCTCCCTCCCTCCTAACCTCCTTCCCTCTGCCCCTCCTTCCTTCTTTCCTTCCTTCTTTCCTTCCTTCCTTCCTTCCCTCCTTTCTTCCCTCCCTCCCTCCTTCCTTCCTTCCTTCCTTCTTTGTCTTTTTTTCCAGGAAATGTTATTATGTAATATGGACATAAGGATAATACTTTTGTCAAGGAATTTTCCTGACAAAAGGGGTTTTAAAGTTTTGTATATGGCTACTAGCTAATTCTGAACAGTCAGACTTTTAAGTTGCAGATTGCTCTGAGGTGGCATGTGTTCTTTGGGCCATTCATTCTATTTTTTGTGTCCTCTTACTATTCTCTTTATTTGATTTCAGCTGAGCTCTGAAAGTTACTTATTTCACCTGCTTCTCAGAGAATTCCTGATGCTACAAGTAGATAGTTCTGCCACCAGATGGTGTACCAGGACTGGGAGAAAACTTGAAATACATCAGCCAATGTGGTAATCTCTCCACATTTTATTTCATGATACAGGTTGTTTTTAATAAGACAAAGATGAAATTCTGAGGTTCTGTAGATTTAATTAAATGTATAGATTTTTTTTCCTTTACATGATAACAGAAATTTAGGCTAGCATTCTTGAGGAAATAAAAGAACACTGAGAGAACTTGATCTCAGACTAGATTTGATGGTAATCTTGGTTTGAGATGAGGAGGGAAGGTTTCAAGACTCGAGACCAGAAGACTCTTCCTCAAACAAAAGTAGCCAAAAGAAATCTTTACTAGTAATAAAGTGATAGAATGTTGGGGCAGAAAGAATATTTAGCCATCAGTTAACTAGCAGCCATATTAATGGCCAACATTAAAACATTCCCAGTGTTTCCCATAACCCTCAGATTCCAGAGTTCCTGAAGGCTTGGCAAAAGCAGCTGAGTCCCCACCTCACTCCTGCTCCCTTGGCAACACTGTGGCTGACTTTCCACTGTTGCCTTCACTGGAACTTGTAATTTTGAGTTGACTATTTTATCTTCCATCCCTTATTTTATTACACTGAACCTTTACTCACATTTAATAAGGAACCTGCCCTGCCCAGCCCATGGAAGGTATTTGGACACATGACCCGCTCTTCTAGTTCATGGAACTTGATCTGAGGTCTGGGCAGGGGGGCTGACATGACACTTTGTTCAGTCCCTCACCTGTCTGCCTCCCACTATTCCAGCTGTTTTGTAGGAAAGGGCACTTGGTTTGCCATAAAAGAGTGAGGCGATTCCAGTAAAAAGTTAGCAGGGAAGGTGACTAAACCCTAAAAGAAAACCATAATCGCCCAAACCAGCTTCTGTTAATGAATAGAAAACATCTTGGAAGTACATCCAAATGGAGGGAGAAATTCTAAATGGACTCTACCTTACAGCAACTATGGAGAGAATGAATAAACACATGATTAGAAGACTAGTAGTTAACAGGCAGGAGAAAGAAAGGAAACAAAATGACTCATCTGCAAGTCTGAGCAGTTTCTGGGGTAAACATTATTTAAGCATTGGACAGGTGGTTAAGGAGACTGAGTGATTGAGAAGACAAGGTAGCAAGTCAGCTAGCAATTGAATGGTTTGTTAATAAACAAAGCACAGCAGGCTGCTTTGCTGAATACCCACGAAAAGGTGGAAATCTGTTTTTGAAAAGAAAAAAAAAAGAAGGGTGAGTAATGTCATCATTTCAAAAGGGACAGAGAAGGCTCTTCCTTTCCTCAATGAAAACAAGAGGGAGGGAAGAAGGGGCCAATTTGCTAGTGATACCTAACTGCTTACTGTGTGCCCAGTTCAGCAATAAGTGAGTCATATTACTGATTATATAGATGAAGAGGCAGAGGACTAGAAAGATGAGATAACATCCACATTTACTTAGCCCATTTCCTCCAACAGAAGTAGAATTCATTGGCCAGTTCTCAAGCTATGATTCTCAAAGCTTCCCACTGACCAATCCAGTTACTCCAAGGCCCTGCTGCCCTTGGCCAAAAGTGTGGCTTGGCCTGTTAGTGCCTAGGATGCCCCAAGCCAAATAGATTGGTCCTTCGATACGTTCACAGCACGTTCTGGGCCAGATCTAGATGAACTGATTGACAAATGTACTGCATGTCTTGGAACAAACTAGAAAAAAGTGGTTTTGTTATATCATTTTGCCCAATGGCATATAAAATACTAATATTGATATTAATTTGTTCCATGTAACAAATTTGTTTCAAAAATTCCTCAGAACAGGTAGATTGTCAGCAGACATCCAAAGAGCATGCATAAATGGCACCTGGAAATCTTCAGTCTGCTCAGCCTGATTTCACCCAGAGTAAGCTGGGTAAAATGTCTAGTAATGTAAGGCTTATACACATGATGTGTCTTGGGAGAAGGCAACATGGCTTGTGAAGAGGGAACTGTATGTGGCTGGAGCTTTCAGAGGAGATGAGTGTAGCATGTTGGTGGAGTAGATGACCCTCCTTCCACTTGCAAGCATGGTTGTGTTGGAGATGCAGAGTGAGAGACAATACATGAGAGGCAGCAGGCCTGTGGTTCTCAGTGGGTGTAGAGGCAGGGTCCTTGTTGCCTGCAGATAGAAACTGTGTACTCCTGGAGGCATGACTACTCAGACCAGTCCTGCGAAACAGCTTCATGACTGGTTAGAAAAATAATTTGAAGAGAATTGTTATCCCTTTGAGTTTGCAGATACCATTAAGCTCTTCAAGCCAGAGAATTGTTAAACCAGTCAGGAGAACATGCCAGGAGGTCTGGTGAAGACACATGCCTCTGGACATGGACCATTTTCTATTTTGTCATTTTGAGTTTCATTCTCTCTTCTTTCCTCCTCCTCTTCTTCTCTTCTTCTTCTTCTCTTCCCC